GCCTGCCGAAGGGGCTGGGATGGCCGCTTGGAGGACAGCTCGGCCGCTCCTCCGCAGCGTAGCGGGATTTGGGAGCAGCTGGCTGGCAACGAGGCAAGGCACGGCCGTGGTTTTCTCAGGGCAGAAAAGGTGATGTTAAGGGAGGGCAGCCATTTTTTTATCTGTGGCAGAAGCAAAAAGGCTCATGCAGGCCCAGCAAGAAGCTAACCACTGCGAGGTGTAAAAGGTTGACCTCAGGGTAAATGTTTCCAGGGCCTGATAGGAAAGGTGTCCTCCTGAGCCAGGACTTCAGAAGGCGTGTGATGGTGTAAGATGAAAGGCCTAATTTTCATCTTGCTCCATGTTACATCAGTAAAAAAGTCATGATAGTGTGACAGCCCTGAAGAGAAACGCGGAGCAGCACAAAACTTTTCTCGTACTTTCTTGCGATGAATTAGAGGGCGGGTGTTCGGGAGTACGCTACAAGGCTGTTCTTCACATCCACAGAGAAGCAACTGCCTCTGTTCGCAGGGAATTTTCAAAGCAAAATTAGGAAGAACTTACGCGGACGTGTAAGGAGGGGAGGAGGCTGCTGGGACGTGCCGCAGCATCCATCGCTGGGGGTGTTAAGGACGAGTTAGACACGCTTTACATCCTGTAAAGCTGCCGTGGCCCTGCAGCCTCTGCTGCCCGGGACCTTTTTGACTGAGTTACCTGCATGCTGCTCTGGAGAGGGCAGGAACGGAAGAGCCTTTTGAAACATGTGCAGGAGTTGGATATATAAAGCATATTAAATAATGCAGAGATGCATTTTCATCTTTTGTTAACGAGAAAGATGCACCACATTAAGGGATAGAGCTGTTTCATGCATTTCAGCAGAGAAGAACAGGGAATATGCGCTGGGGCTGTTTACATTGCCCTGCTTCTGTATTTTCCATCTAATTCCTGCAAGTAAAATCACTGTGTAAGGCAGAGACTTGAATGGGTATGGATGTTTTATTACCTTTGCTTTAAAAGTAGAATTTCTGGACAGGATTAGAATATTGCAGGGATTGCAAGATTTCTGAATCCAGCAAAGGCAAAAATGGCAGCACTTATGCAGCTCAGATCAACATTTTTGAAGAGCTTATGGAACAAAAATTGAGTGCGTGTGCGTTCTTGGGCAAAGAGCCCCCAGCTATCAGAGCCCTCTGTAAGGAGAGGCAGAGCTCAGGCTCCAAAAGAAACGTGCCTTTCACTTTTTCTTACTTTTTTAGTTTTTGTCAAAATCAAACTTCTTTTGGCTACCATCATGTTACAGGGTCTTTGATGGAACTCGATTTTTCTCTCTTATCATTCCTTGCTCACCTTTTGCTGAATTTTTTATTCCCACAACTTGGGGCTGGGGTTTTTTATTGCTTACTGCCACAGGTAATGAGGTTGGAAGACTGTGGAAAATCGTAGCCTTGCCCACAGGTCTCTCGCAACAGACCTTAGTAGTTGACATCTGCAGTGCTGTAGTTCTAGTTTTGGTCAGTTCATGCCCAGAAAGAAATAGCTCTTGAAAAGACACCTACTTTGATGATACTGGATAATGATTACAGGATTTTGGACTTGTTTGGATTTGTACACAGCCAGTGTTAACAGACTGATTAAGACCCTAGAGACTCACCATTCAAGGTTAATTTTAAATGTGGATGGTAAAGAGACTGTGCTGGTAGAAAGACGTTACGTTGCAGGAGAGCAGCTTAACAGAGATTTAAAAGCTGGGTCCATGAGGTGGAACAGAGGTAAATGTTCAAGTGTGCCAGCGTTGAAAGGGCAGCAGGGCAGCAAATCGACTTTGGTTGCCATCCTGTAGTGGTGGTGCAGGAGTCTCTGCTTCCTCCCTCCAGGACAAACCTGCAGAAGAAAGAAGGCGTCGTTTCCCAAGGCACTGTGTGAAGGTGTGCATCGATGAAACCATACTGGGTGCAGTGAAGTCTGCAGGAAACCGATAGTAGAATATATTAATATACTGAGTCTGAGGAATCTTTTAGAGGAAGGGGAAGGAGTTCAGAAATAGAAAACAAAATAGATTAATAAAGTCAGATGGTTAGGAAGAACAGGGAAATAATTTACAGGTAGGATGAAGGAGGGAAGGGAAAACTGGCAGGGAAGCAGGACTCTTGCCAAATACCGAGAGGTGTAAATTGGAGAGTTGAGGCAAT